TCCCAGTAAGAGGTGTCCCAGTGCTCCCAGTAAGGGCTGTCCCAGCGCTCCCAGTAAGGGCTGTCCCAGTGCTCCCAGTAAGGGCTGTCCCAGTGCTCCCAGTAAGGGCTGTCCCAGTGCTCCCAGTCCCTGCCCGCTCCCACCTGGGGCCGCACGCCGATGCTGCTGTGCTGCTGCAGTCCATGAGCACAGCCCTCCGCTGGGCGCCGTGCGGCGCTTCGTCCACGTCCTGGAGCAGAGCCAGCACGACTTTGTGGAGGAGGCGGAGGTGCTGCGGCTGCGGGAGGAGGTGGCCAAAAGGATCCGTGTGAGCCAGCAGCTGGAGGGCGACCTGAGCCTCATGGACGTCCAGATCGGGCTGCTGGTCAGGAACCGCGCCACGCTGCAGGTGGGGAGCAGGCAGGATGGGGGGCGGTCGTGGCTTCTTCTCTGCAATAGCGCTCGGGCACCTGAGTGGGCTGCCGGGGGGGGCACCGTCCCTGGAGGTGTTGGGCTGCCGGGGTGGGGTTGGACCGGACGATCTTCAGGTCGTTACGGTTGGAGAAGAGCTGTGGGGTCGCCCAGTTCCGCTCAAAAGCCCCCCCTCGCCGCACACTGCCAGTGGAAGAGACCCCTCCCAGCGAGTGCTGGGTGCTGGGGGCACCCATGGTTGGGCTGGGCCATAGAATCACGGAACGGCCGGGCTTGGGAGGGGCTCCAGGCTCACGGAGCTCCAACCCCACCCTGCATGCCAACCTGCCCACGTTTCACAGCAGCCCAGGCTGCCCAGGGCCCCATCCAGCCTGGCCTCCAACCCCTCCAGCGATGGACGGGGCATCGCAGCCTCTCTGGGCAGCTGTTCAGCCCCTCACCGCTCTCCCAGCACACAACTTCCCTGACCCCCAGCCTCCAGCTGCCCTCCCTCCGCTTCCAGCCGTTCCCTGCTCTCATCTCCCCTGCCCAAGAGCTGCCTCCCCTCCTGGCTGCAGGCTCCCTGCAGGCGCTGCAGGCTGCACTCAGCTCAGCCCCAGCTCCTCTTCTCCGTGCTGAACGAGCCCAGCTCCCTCAGCCTGGCTTTGCAGGGAGCTGCTGCAGCCCCTGCTCATCTCCAGCTCCTCTGGACCCTCTCCCACAGCTCCCTGTCTTTCTCGTGCTGGGGGCTCCAGCCCTGGACGCGGTGCTGCAGATGGGGCCTCAGAGAGCAGAGCACAGAGGGACGATCGCCTCCCTGTCCCTGCTGCCCCCCCTCTGCTGATGGCGCCCAGGACCCCGTTTGTTTCCCAGCTGCAGTCACACCCTGCTGGCTCCCGTTCAGCTTTTCATCGCTCAGGACCCCCGGGTCCTTCTGTGCAGGGCTGCTCTCAAGGACAACCCAGTGCTCCCTTATGGCCCATCTCGGTGGTCTTTTCCAAGCGCACCGATGCTGGGGGTGGGAGTGGTGGGGGGAATCAGGGTGGTGGGGGGGTCGGGGTGACCCACGGGTCTCTCCCAGCCATAGCAATGCATTGGTTCCCCCCTGCAGGAGGTGGTGTCGCAGTGCGGGAAGCTGACCAGGAAGAACAGGGAGCAGCTGTCGGAGCTGATGTGCCTGGACAAGCAGAAGGGGCTCAAATCTCTCAGCAAGGAGAAGCGGCAGAAGCTGGAGGCCTACCAGCACCTCTTCTACCTGCTGCAGGTGGGCTGGGGGGCAGAGGGTCCCTGCTGCCCGCCTCTCTGAGGTGCCGGGACTGAGCGCAGCTCTCCGTTCCGCTCCTCCCCTGCAGACGCAGCCCGGGTACCTGGCCAGGCTGCTCTTCCAGGTGCCTCAGAACAAATCCACCACGTTCCTGCAGCCCGTCATCTTCACGCTGTTCGGCTACGCTTCCCACCCGCGGGAAGGCTTTCTGCTGCTGCAGCTCTTCAAGGCGGCCCTGCAGGAGGAGATCAGGTTGGGGGGGGGGGTGGCCCCGCGCAGGGTCTGCTGTGGTGAGGAGATGTGAGGACAGGTGTTGAGATTGCTGGGGAAAAAAATAGGTTAATTTTGGGTAGATCTGCAAAAAGCTCCGTTTTAGTCGGAGTCGACACTGCAGGTCTCCAAATGGAACATGAGGGGCTGCAGTCAGTGCGGCTCCAAAATCTGACTCTGTGCAGACGCCCATTCGCTCTCCCTGAGCAGAACTGGGGGCTGCACCGCTGACCTGCCCTCCCTGCTGCTTGGTGACGGATGCTGTGAGGGTGAAATGTGGGGGAAGGGACTGGTGGTCAGAAAGGCTTTTAGGGCCGCCCTTGCGCTCTCCTGGACTTCGTGCAGCCTTTGGCACTGCCCCGTCCCCGCAGAGAAGCTGGGATGGCAGCCGGTGGGCAGCCAGGCACCAGCGGGGTCCCACAGGGCTCTGTTCTGGGGCTGCTCCTAGGAGCACCTTCGTTGACCATCTCCATGGGGGGACTGAGAGCATCCTCAGTAGGTCTGCAGATGGCAGCAAGCTGGAAGGGCTGCTGGTCTGCCTGAGGGCAGAAAGGCGCTGCAGAGGGACCCGGATAGACTGGATCGATGGCCAAGGCAAAGTGATTTCGGTGGGACCAAGTGTGGGGTCCTGCATTTTGGTCACAGCAACCCAGGCGACCCTGCAGGCTTGGGGAGGAGCGGCTGAAAGCTGCCTGATGGACAGGGAGCTCGGTGTGCTGATGGCAGAGGGCTGAAGGCGAGCCTGCAGTGTGCGCAGGGGGCCGAGAAACCAACGGCGTCCAGCTGGGATCAGGAGCGGCGAGGGGAGCAGGGAGGTCGTCCTGCCCTGCGCTCAGCGCTTGTGAGGCCTCAGCTCCAGTTCGGGTTTGGGCACCTCTGTACAGAAAGGGCACGGAGGGGCCGCAGCGGGGCAGAGCAGGGCAGCGAGGCTGGGGAAGGGCTTGGAGAGGGTGGTCTGTGAGGAGAGAGCGAAGGAATGGGGCTGTTTGGTGTGGGGAAGAGGAGGCTGAGGAGACCTTGCTGCTCTCTGCCCATCTCTGAACGGCGGTCGCAGCACCGCTGACAGGACGGGGGGAAACGGCCTCACTGCACCAGGGGAGGTTCAGGCTGGTGTCAGGACAAACCCGTGTGCGGAGAAGGGCTGTGAAGCCCTGGGATGGGCTGTGAGGGAGGGATGGAGGCCCCGTCCCTGGGGGCGCTGAGGTCTGGATGTGGCGCTCAGGCGGGGTTCGCAGAGGGCAGCGCGGCCGGGCCGTGGTTGGACTCGGCGTCTTTTCCAACCTGAGCAGCTCTGTGAAAAACCCCTCACAAACTGATTGGGAACGGCAGCCGCTGCTCAGCCAGGTGTTGGTGCGGTGGCCGTGGCTGCTCCCCACGGGGCAGATTCCAGCAAGGTGCTGGCAGAATCGCTGAGCTGACGGCAGGGAGCGTCAAAAAATCGTTCTGCAGCCGAGAATTCGCTCCGTCACGGAGCGTCCACAGCTGCTGTCGTTTCCACGCCAATAAATAGGAGGCGTCAGGTCTGGAGCGGGCAGCTGAACCGCGCCGCGTTCGGCTCCATCCCCGCGCCCGTCTCTCTGCAGGTGCAAAGTGGATCACGTCCACGACATCCTGACGGGGAACGCCGCCGTCATCCGCATGGTGGTCAGCTTCTACCGCAGCGCCCGCGGGCAGAGCGCCCTGAGGCAGATCCTGGGCCGCCCGGTGCGGGAGGTGCTGCAGGATGCGACCCTCAGCATCCGAACCGACCCCGTGGACATCTACAAGGCGTGGGTCAACCAGGCCGAGTCACAGAGCGGGCAGAGGAGGTGAGGTGGGGCGGGGGCTCAGCTGGTGCCGGGGGGGGG